GCAGGGGGGTGGGGCGGGGGTTTGAGGATTTTTTTTTTTTCCCCAGCGCGGGTTTGTCCCGCGCTTACCATTGCGAAAAAAAAAGAAAAAAAAAAGCGCCTGTTTTGCAGGTTGTCTGTGCTAAGACAATCAATATGACAACCCATGAATATGAATTTTTCTCCTAAAAGTACTGCAGAAGTGTTTTAAATACTTGGAAAGAAATGGAAGAATGGGAATTTTTCAGTTGACATGACTGATCCTCAATCACTTTGTATTTCTCTGGCTGATAATAATTAAAGATTTTAGTAGTGGAAAGTTGAACAAGCACTGTCACAAGTGCTGTTTGACACAAGTCCATAAAACTTGTGTCAAATGCCAAAGGTTTCTAAATGACCCTGACTGTCATGCACAACCTACAATAAGTTTTCTCCACTTGCACAATCTTCCAGAAAACATTTTGTTTGAACTTTTTTTTGGAATAGGTATCTTATTTCACCAATGAAATTTTGAATATGGCCACTGCATGGCAATACACTGCAGAGCAACTGAACTACTACAGGATATCTTATGTTGTCACAGACATACTTACCGAGGGTTTGCGAACCATCTTCAAACAGGAATGGGACAAACGCTGCAAGACAACTTTAGGAGAATGGAAAGATCAACCTAAAAATGGAATGGACTTTTGGAATAAGGAGTCCTCTCGAAACAGAAGTAAAAATGCCCATCTGTTGACAACCATGAAGAATGGCAATAGAGCTGAATGGGATTGTTCCATGCTATTTTATGCTATCCTGTATTCAGATTGCATTCAAAGTCTCAATCCAACAGTGCAAAAAAATGTGGATGACCTCAGGAAATTTCGAAATGAAGAATTTGCACATGTACCACAAGGCCATCTTTCTGGTGTTAAATTTAAGAATGATATTCTCTTAGTCCACAATGCATTTCACAATCTTGGTCTTGCCACTGCAAGAATCAAAGAAATACAAAATCAAAGAAGTTTTCCAACAGAGGAGTTAGGAGAGGTCTTACGGAAGGTGGATGACCTTAAACAAGAAGTTTATGAGAAGGAAAACAAACTTCAAGAAAAGGTAATGGAACTTCAAGAAAAGGAAGGACAACGACAGGTTTTGGAGGAACAGCTATATACTGAGGTCTCTCCATTCTGCATTCTTCCTTCCCCACCTTCTCATGATGTTGCACCCTGCACTCGTCAGGTTGCTGAAATAAGACGACAACTCAAAGCACTCAAAGGGGCTAATGAAAACTATTTAAGCATCCTGTATATATCTGGAAATCCAGGAAGTGGGAAATCTCAGTTGTCTCGTTTGGTAGCCAAGCGCTTCTTTGATGAAGACTCAAATTCTACCTCTTCATTTGTAATGACACTAAATGCCGAAAACACAGGAGCTCTCTTGGAATCATACGTTTCTTTTGCACGATATTGTAAATGTCCTGAGTATGCTATTACAAACACTCTCAAATCCAGAGAGATGAACACAGATGAGAAAATTACCAATCTCAAGACCTTAATAAGCACCAAAATTGAGCTTTACACTTCCTGGTTGCTGGTAGTTGACAATGTCACTGATGCATCCGGTATCCATAGTTATTTACCAGATGCTGGGAACAAGCAGTGGGCAAGGGGCCAGATGATAATAACAACACAAGACACCATGACAATCCCATTGACAAGCTCTCGCATACAACATATCTCAGCCAGCAAAGGTATGGATCTTGAGGATGCCAGATTTCTGTTGAAACACCTTTCTGGTGTCACAGATAGTGAGATGGAAGAAGAAGTTGCGCAGGTATTAGACTACCAACCTCTTGCCATGGCAAGTGCTGCCACATATGTTAGAGAAGTTGGACAGCACAGGATGGCTTCCAAGTTTGGTTGGATTGACTATTTGAAGAAATTGGATGAAGGAAAACGAAGAAGTACAGAGAACATACTGGCAGAAACTAACTCAACTTACCCAAAATCCATGACAGCAGCGATAACACTTGCCGTAGAGAAGGCAATGACATCTAAAAAGGTTATTCATCACACATTCTCTTTGCTCTCTCTCTGTGCATCACAACCAATACTTCAAGACATTGTCACCTACTACATTTTGGAAACAGATAAAGAGTTTGATGATAAAGAAATGGTTTGTGCAAAACTCCGCCGATGCCCATTGTTGTTATTTACAGAAGAGGAGGGCTGTATCTACATTCGTGTTCATAGAGTTGTCCAGGAAGTCATCAATACTGTCATAAAATGCTACACAAAGGATGAACACCTTAAAGTCATCCATGGGGCCATTGCATCATTTTCACATGCATCCAAGATTGAGAAGGACTTAGATCCTGTGTTTCTCGGCAAGAACATGGTCCCCCATGTAACAAATCTGATTAACGAGACATGTCCATTGTTTTCTGAGCAAGGAATCTCAGAAGTCGCTAAAAGTGGCATACTAACAGTTCAAGACTTCACTGAAAACTTTCTAACACTTGGAGAAATGTGTATTGAACACTGTGAATTAAACACAGCATTGAAGTGTTGTAATGTGGTCTTAGCCTTTGTCAACTTGGGTGTGGTAGCTTGCAACAAAGCAGAGGCAGCAGCCTACAGTGGCTTGGGTAGAGTGCATTGTGACTTAGGTAAATTGGAGCAGGCAAAGGATTACTTTTCACATGCATTAGACATCTATTTGAAAACTTTCAGGCCAGACCATGTTAATGTTGCCTCTTCTTACAATAATCTTGGTATGGTGTGCAATAAGCTTGGTGACCTTCAGCAGGCAAAAGACTACTACCAACATGCAATGGACATTCAAATGAAAACCCTGGGCCCTGATCATGATGACGTTGCAACTTCTTACCACAACCTAGGTATTCTGCATCGTGACCTTGGCGATCTGAAGCAGGCAAAAGTCTTTTTGAAGCATTCATGGTTGTTACGTATCAAAATGCTTGGAGATGAGCATGTAGAGGTTGCATCTACTTACAATGAACTGGGTCTTGTGTACAGGGATCTGGGTAAACTAAAGAAGGCAAGGTGCTATTATGAAAATGCACTCAATATATACTTGAAAAAGCTTAGGCCGGACCATGTCGATGTGGCATCCACTTACAATAACCTAGGTGATGTGGAGGGTGCAATGGGTAACTTTGAGCTAGCAAATGACTACTACGCCCATGCAAAGGACATTTGTTCGAAGAAGTTCGGACCCGAGCATGATTATGTCAAAATGATTCAGAAAAACTTAGCTGAGTTACAGCATAGAATGGAGAGAACTCAATGCTGCCTGCCTTGTCTTTGAAAGAGGACAAGAGATCCACAGCCTTCTTATCAGTTCAACAAACTTAATAGGAAAAGGAAAGAAGAAAAAGATGGAAACTGTACTTTTCTTTAAGACAAGAGTATCCAAAAAAAGGACTGTTGGTAGAAACAAATGAGGTTTGATAAACAGACACTTTCAAAAGCTTTTGCAGAAAGGAAAAGATGTGCAAGAGAAAAATGTATGTGAGGAAAAAAACAAATTAACAAATACAGCAGCTGGCACAACAAGTAGCCACATAAATTTCTGCACTGACCCTTAACTCATTTGGAAATAGTC